TATGTAAAAATTATCAAACTCATATAAACTTAAAAAATGTGATAAGCTTTTAAAAGTAGAGATTTCAAGCTTTAAAACCCTTTTTTTAAATTTGAATTTCATTCATTATTGACGAAGATATTGTATATACAACTTTGAGCTAAAAAATACGCGATGACTTTTTACTACACCTAATATTACATTTAAGTTTGTAAAATTTGAAGTTAGAAATAATGCAAAAATAATAGTACAATATATAAACTTTTTTTATTCTTAATTTGATTTTTATGATTGGAGCTAATATTTTTATCTTTGGAAGAAATTAATTTTGTTTACATGTTTTCTCTTATTTATTTTTTTATTTTTTTATTTATTATTTTATAATTTGATAAGATATGTAACATTTTATTTTTATTTTATAGGAAGAGGAGAGTGGATTCAGATAAGTGAAATAAAAAATTGCTAAATATTCCAAATGGGCAATAAAAGCCCATTATGGCCCAGTGTCATCAACCACAACATCAGCATGAATTTTTACCCCTGTGTGATGTATTATTTAACATTATTTCATTAGCATCCTATTTCTGCGATGTTGTCTTTGATTTTGCGATGATATATGCCCTTGCCCATCAAGCAACAACATCGCCCATACTATTTCCATTGAGCATCACTTTTATAGCAACTTCTCTGTTGATTTCTCAGGTTTGTGTTTGATGAAACTTCTACATTGTTTTGCAATTTCATCGTTATAATTATATACTATATAATTATTTTTGCAGATCGTTAGTTTGCGATGGTATCTCTGGGGCGCTAGAGGTAAATTAACAAACGCACCAAACAATTGTCATGTAAATCCAGTGAAGAGAATTGGCAATTGGACTGTAGGCTGCGTTCTATTACTTCACTCCACCCAAGTCGGTGTACTATGGAGATACTTCAAATTATTTATTCCAGTAAATTTAACTTTCGTAAAACACGAGGTACGTAAACATTTTTGGAAAGAAGAACATTCTTCCGTCGTCTCTTTCGTTTCATTATAAGTCTCATCTCAGGTACGGGAGCTTTGTGTATTACGGCTGATACACGCATTCTGTGAGGCCGCTCCAATGCTACTTCTGCAGCTCTACATCTTGTTCGGCGTTACCGATGGCGATAGGACAGAAGCCGAGAAATTGACTGAACGTGAGAGCAAGGACGGCGGTAAATTAAAGGAATTGACACTAGTGTCAGCAGGACTGTCCTTATGGAGTGTGTGCTGGGCGGTTGCCAGTTTCAGCAAAGGTGCTGCGCGTCTGCGTAATCTAGAACGTTTAGTGCTAACATGGTTAGGAGTGCTGGCGCAATTATTTTGGCGTCTGGGGACAGTGAGTGCTCGCGTCGGAGCATTGGTCGCGTACGCTTCGTTGTACGGCGGACAGTGGCTACTGATCGTGATGGCTCTCCACTGGTTGTCCATGCTGACGTGGTTACTGCTCACGCCGGACGGACTTTTCCATGGTGGCGAGCGTCTTTCGCTTTTTAGGAAGACTTTCCTCGCTTCCCTCCTTGCTTTTGTATATATATTTGCATACGTTAATCTACATGAGACGAATCACCGTCAAAAAATGGTTAGTACTATCTACATCTGAATGACAATCTATTATGTTAATGTTATGTTTTTTATTTTTTTCAGGTGATATTTTACACTGTAATGTTCTTAGAGAACAGTTTACTCATCGGCGTGTGGATAGCTGGTGTTAATCGTGCCGATCTTTTGTCTCACCAACATCATCTACATCCAGTTACTCTAGTACTTCTTCTACTAGCTTTATTTTTTGGTGGCATGTTTTTCATGGGTCTATATTACAGGTAAACATATTTTGTTTTATTTTATTAATGAATATTTATATAGTAATATGATTAAATTCACATATAAAAGTGAAATAAAAATTTGTGTAGTAATTAGAGTGTAAATTTAATAAATATTAAATAAATATAATTCTTAATAAGTGATTACAATATTAAGCGAATACTAGTAGAATTATAGAATTACATATCTATATAATGAAAATATTTATAGTTAAATTAATTTTCCATTTTTGTTACAGATTTTTTCATGTAAGAAGATTAAGGTATGAAGCTGGTGGAAGAATGACTGGTTCAAATCTCACTACGTTATCGAATCAGGTATGGTATGAGACAGATTTCTTTCCTTGGAGGCATCGTTATAAAATTTTTTTAACTTTTAGGACAATGCGGAAGAGAAACAAATAGACTATAACGAGGGAAAGAAAGTTAATATTAGCATTAGCATGAGGAAAGTTAAATTAAGTAACGGCGGCATACCAGGTGTGTTCAATTGCCGTTTTGCAAATCCAACGGCTGTTGTAAATCCGAATCGCAAGAAGAAGAAACCAACCAGTTTTGTTCCGCCTCCACCACCACAATCGCAGGGCACGGTGATGAGTTCCGTAGCGGCGGTAGGTGACTCAAAACAGTGGCTCAACATGGGCAATGGCTCGCGGCAATTGATTCCATTTTGGAAGAAACCGATATCTTCTAATGTAGTACAGGTAGATATTTGTTACAAATCTACGAATTAGAAAGTAAACTGAACTTATTTATTCCTTTAAAGTATATAATACTATATACGTTAGCAAAATGCATACATCATTTCTCAATATAATCGAACAGTTTTGTTACACTTTTTGTATAATGATCCACAAGTCTTTTGTCTGCGAACAAGATTTTTGGCTGCCCTCAAAATATATGCATCGCTTCCTAAATTCTAAGCTAACTATAATTTATCACTGGCATTTGGCCCATAAAGGCTTCCATTTAGTCGCTTCGCAAGCACCGTTTGTCCTTGTTAACATTTGTAAATGACTTCAAGAATATTGCGAACGTTAAGTGGAACTTTGTATCAGGACTTTCTTTAACAAATTAAACAAAATCGAAATCGGAAGCAGCAAAAAATCAGAACTGTATGCAGGGATGTGTTCGGATTTCCACACGAACGCCGTTCGAGTATCATATCATTCTTGTTCAACATTTGGTAAACAAGAAGGATAAAGTGGTACCTGGGCAACACTTATAGGTTAATTCTAAGCAAACGTGTCGTTAAATTGTAAAATCGTAAAATTGTAACGATTGAACGTTATGATTTACAAATATCAGCCACTTATTAGCGAAAAATGCCTTAGGCATCGGTTGCTGTGAATGGCTGTGGTCCATTCATAAAGTGATCCAATCGGAATTCTTCTGATCGTTACAATCGTATGACATGTGGTATGTTATTTTAATGTCCGTATTTATAGTCAGATCTTGTACTTAAAGCTTCCTTAAATTTATCTTTAGATGCTCAGCAAAATTTCAGAAATATATTTATTACTTACTTTGATATGTAAGGGGATTCTTGAATTTGATGAATTGTAATATGGTTCAATTTTATGGATTAAATCTATAGTAATTGGTACAAATTTGTAACACCCCCTATATATCTTCTTAACATTCGCATGTGATTTCTTAAAAATAGGTTATATTTATAATAATAATATTAACAGTGATATTTACAGTTAGTATATTTTTTAACAATACCTATTATATTCTTCTTCAATTAAAAGTCCACTATATAAAATATCGACGTTCATTATATATAAAAATAACGGAAATACTTTTTATTTGACAAACTGTAATGCTTATAACTTTATGTAATATTTTTACAGATAACTTCTTGCTAGCCGTAAAATTTACGAGAAATCGTAAGCATTTACGAACAGTCGTATGTTTTACGATAACGCATAGAATTACAACTCCAGTCATAAGTGCTTACAAATCTTACGAGAACAAGTTATGAGCCTTACAAGTCTGCTTAGAATTGACCCATTTTAGATGGGAATCTGAACCCAGCACTGAACATGAGAAAATTTCAAGTTTCAGTTGTTTTATAGCGAATTTAGTCACTTGCATTACACTAGATTACTACTATGTGTATATGAAGTTAGTAAAGTAAAAGCATATAAATATTTTAAATGAATAATGATATTGTCACGATATATTTAATTAAAGTATACGTATTATTTTATTATTAAGATTGATTAAATTATGCCACTGTATTTAGATATTTTATATAAAGCAGCATTTAATGTGTACTATTCAAGTATAGAGTTCGAGTGACCGAATATCATCATTAGAGTTTAGGAAGTGTGTGACTTTTCGAATTTTGAGAATAGCCAGAAACCTTTTTTTATAAACGGAATCAAAAGTCTTACAGACAGTTATACTAAATGTGTTACAAAATTGAGCGATTATATTGAAAAAAATTATGTTGTATATATTTTGCTAACGTTCATTGTACGTGAGGAATAAACACATTCACTTTATGTTCTGATTTCCTCTCTTTGCGTATTTGCTCTCATTGCGTATTGCAATAAGACTGCTGTTACAATATAATTAATCTCTCAATACAGAACGATGGTTCCAACGAACACAAAGACGAAACTGATATGGCAATCAGTGGCTCATTGAATGTCACATTAATACGCGAGAAACTGAAAGAAAAAAAACAACAACAACTGCGAGAATTGCGAGCGATACAGGAGGAGATCAAAGAAGGTAAATTGTTCCCACCTCCTTCCGCTTCTACATCCTCTTTTTCGTCCTCCCCTTCCGCATCTAATCAGCAACCACCACCAAACACGAAACTGCATACTTCTCCGAGTTCCCCATTATTCACGTCTCCGCCATCGTTCTGCGAGCAGAACGGTGGTAATGCCTTATCGTCTTGGCCGCCCATCAAAATGCATTGCCTCTTACCTCCACCACCTTCCTCTCCGTATTATCCTAATCCCTCGAATCCATGGAGAGCAGCTTCTCAACGAGAACGGGCGGACACGCCGGAGATATTATTAGCACCGCGATGTCTTCCGCATCATTATCCCCATTGGTCACCGCCTGGACATCTCAGTCATAGGTAATAAAAGTACAATCGATGTTTGAACAACCAATTCGGAAGAGTCAGTTGATTCAAATTTCATTTCATCAGATTGCATGTGAATCAGAACGGTGTCGAAGAAAGTTCTAAAGGTGAGGGCGATGGAGAAGCGGAAGTCAGCGACATGGAAGGTAGCCAAGTCTCGTTACCTAGGAGTTATACGTTACCTCGCGAATTCAAATATAATCCTAACAGCGCCGTGAGAGAACGAGAGCGTCGCATGGGAAATAATAAAATATATTCTTCGCGTTTTTATCTTCCATCCACCAATAGCTCCGACGGTGAGTACACTTCTTATCTCTTTCTCTATATTGGAGAAAAAATTAATAATTGCTTACAGAAATGTAGTACTGGAAGGTAGTGATTAATTACATATTTTGAGCATTAAAAGTACTATTGTACTTAAAATAAGTAATTAATTACTATCTTCTAGTATTAAGTTGGATTTCTGTAAGAGATCTATATTACATTGCAGAAATTTTTAAGACAATTCAAGTTAATTAATTACG